CTCGCTGCAACACCAGTGTGGTTGCATCTGGGTGGTGCCGATTTAATTGTTTGGGGTTTTTCTTAAATTATTATTAATTTTCCCCATTCTCCCTCCCTCCCACAAAATGAGGTATTTGAAGCTTTTCTTTGCCCGTGGTGTGATGCCAGCCCATGTGTCCCACTACCCCCAGCATCACCCACCAGCTCTGTCATCCCGGTGGCGCCGGGTTTGTGGAGGAGCCCAGCACCCGCTTTGGTGCTGTGGGGTTTTTTTGGACTGTCCCCTAACTGGTCCCCATGGCTGTGTCCCTCTCTAGGGCTCCTATGGGGTGGTGAAGCTGGCCTACAATGAAGATGATAACACCTACTATGTGAGTAGCACATGTCCCTGGAGCCCACAGTGGGGTGGGTGGGATGGGGGACAGGGACACTAACCCACTAACCCATCCCACTGACCCCGTTTTATCCTTGATTTGCCCCAAATCTCACGTTTTTTCCCCTCTTGCAGGCAATGAAAGTTCTTTCCAAAAAGAAGTTGATGAGACAGGCAGGTTTCCCCCGTAAGTGATGCAAAAGCTTTAGGGTGGGAGATGATCTGGGGACTTTGGGGCTCATTCCCACCGGACACCCCGTCTTTGCCTTTCCCATAGGTCGCCCACCACCCCGCGGGGCCAAAGCTGCCTCCGAGGGCTGCCTGCAGCCCAAAGGGCCCATCGAACAGGTCTACCAGGAGATTGCCATCCTGAAGAAGCTGGACCACCCCAACGTGGTGAAGCTGGTAGAGGTGAGTACCAGCCAGCCCCTTCCTGAAACTCACTCTGAGCATGAAGGAGCCTGGACGCTGCAGGATGGGCTACACATTGGCTTGGGCAGACGGGAGTGACCATAGAGGGGCTGAGACGGCCATGCTGGGTCCTGCCTACAGGAGACTCATGTTTTCCCTGGTTTAAAAGGTTTTTTATTCCCATCTTCCAAAAGAGGATTGTTTTTTCTTCCCTTCCCAGAAAGGGAAATGCAGAAAAATGTTGCTTCCTTGGAAAAAACAAGTGCTCAGATGGGTTTTGGGGAGAAACTAGTGTTTCTGTGGTGCAGTTGCTCTGCCCTCCGCCCACTGACTGCATGAAACGGTCCAAAAATCAAGAATTAAGGATGTGCAGGCTGGAGTTTACTTGGCTCATGAGTCAGATGATGCTTCCTGTGTGTTTTAAATATTTATTTCCTTTAAGTACAACTATATCTCTGTCCTCTTTTTCTTTTTTTTCCCCCACCCCTTGTGGGTAGAAGCTCAGAGATGAGCAGACCACGCTAATGGTGCAGAACTGAGATGGCTGCTGAATAAAAAAAATCACAATGTTTAATTTCCCAGGTTTTTTTGGTGCTGTTTAATTTCCTTTCCGCTTCTTTTGGCAGGTCCTAGATGACCCCAGTGAGGATCACCTGTACATGGGTAACTGCTCACCACTCTGCGGTGCTTGCGGGGTGTTGGGGGATTGGGGTTTGCCGGGGCAAAGGGTTTCCCCCGTGTTTTGGGGCAGCTGTGTGCAGGGTTGGGTGTCTCCTCTGGAGCAGGTATGGCCTGGATGTGCTGGAGGAGCAAATCCTCTCTAATGGTCAGAGCAAACAGGATCCAGTCTGGGTTCAGAAAGGAGACAGGAGTGTTTATAGCACTTTATAGGCTTTAATTCAACATCAGGGCATGCTTTGCTATGAGAGGTACCAGCACAGATGTTCTCAGCTCTGAAGCTGAGAGAGTAGTTTTGTTTCTTTGGCTTCAAGAACATGGCATGTGTTAATTATCCACCATACAAACGAGCTCCTTCCCAACCTGTCGTGCAGACCTTGTGGAGGAGGCATTTCGTTTCCATCATTTAAGCTCAGCCTGTACTAGTGAGGAGCATGTGATGCCTTCGTGGCTGAGAGCAGAGGTTTGCTCGGGATGTGGGCTTGGCCTGGGTTTTGCAGGCAAACCGAGGGTCTTGGTGTGCTGTGTGGAGGGCACGTCATGATGCTGAAGCTGCAGCACCAAGAAGGTAGCTGGCAGCATCCCCTTCAATGATAACAGAAGCAACCAAAATGCCATGTGCCTTGCATAAGATGGCATCTCCTTTTTTTAAAAAAATATTATTATTTTTTGAAATTTTGTCAGTAAAAGAATTACTTTTGTGCTGGGAGAGTGTGTGTGCAGGAGCTCTAACCTGTCAGTGATCCGTAATCACCTTCTCTTTTGTGTTTCAGTGTTTGAACTGGTGAAGCAAGGGTGAGTATTGAATTCCAGATTTAAACTTACTAAAGCAGGGACATGAGACAGGCTTGCAGGTGGCCCAGCTTGGCTACCTGAGGCGGGTGCAGGACGCAGAGGCGATGGGGAGGTTCGTGGTGGGTCCCCTACGGGTTTGGGTGGCATCTCCCCAACCCAGTTACAGCTGTGCACACCCACCATGTGCCTGTGTTCGGGGCCACACGCTGTCGCCGACTGGCAGCAAAGCCTCCAGGACCGGTGTCAGTGCATCCAGGTGGGGAATGAGCTCCATTCTCTGTTGCCTTTGCAGCCCCGTGATGGAAATTCCAACCCTGAAACCTCTGAGCGAGGACCAGGCTCGGTTCTACTTCCAGGATCTGATCAAGGGCATTGAATACTGTGAGTGTCTGTGCAAAAGGATGGGATTTCTTATTTTTATTTTTTTCTCAGCACTTGGAGCTGGACTTTCTGCTGGTGTACGGTGTCGTTTCTGGTGGCTCATGCTACTGCACAGGGGTTTTTGAAGCTGGGGCTGGTCGTGGTGTTAGCAGAAAGGCTTACAGCCAGGCAGAGGCTTCGTGGCTCTCTTGCTGCAGACAGGTGCTGCTGCTGAATCACTCGTTTTTCCTCTGGCTGCAGTGCACTATCAAAAGATAATCCACCGGGATATTAAACCTTCCAACCTCCTCGTGGGGGAAGACGGGCACGTCAAGATCGCTGACTTCGGAGTGAGCAATGAGTTCAAGGGAGCTGATGCCCTCTTAACCAACACGGTGGGCACCCCTGCCTTCATGGCCCCAGAGACGCTCTCAGAAACCAGGAAAATCTTCTCTGGAAAGGTATTTAATAATGATTTGAGGGTTTGGGGACCGACCTTCCTTGCACATGCTGTCTGCTGCAGATCTAACCACGCTTTCTTGGCTCTGCAGGCTTTGGATGTCTGGGCCATGGGGATCACACTGTACTGCTTCGTGTTTGGGCAGGTAATGAGATTGATTTTTCCAGCACTGTTGGTGGTCCGGGGGGTTTGGTGTGTGCCTTCCATGTGTCAGGTACACAGTGGGATTTGCACCCTCTCCCCCTGTGCGAGCAGGTGGGTATTGCCGAGGGGAGACAGGGATGTGTGGGTGGAAATGGGAAACCTCTGCCTGTCTGTAGGATGGGTACAGCCAAAAGGGACATGTTTCTCTTTTTCCCCAAGGAAAGAATTCTGTGTCTGGCCAGATTTTTAAGGAAAGGAGCTGATGTAGTAATTTGGTCATTTTTAGTCCAATGTTATTTTCATTGCATTTAAAAGAAGACATTGATATAATAGGAAATCTTCTGGTATTTCCCTATAACTGGCTCTTTGTTCTTCAAACCCTGCAAGATCCCAATGCTCAGCTGGCTGCCCCTCTGCCACTTCTTATCAGAGTTCTCATTGCTCTTTTTCTTTGTGGTAGTGCCCTTTTATGGATGAAAGGATCCTGAGTTTACACAATAAAATCAAGACCCAAACGTTGGAGTTCCCAGACCAGTAAGTACTCAAGAAAAATTCCCCAAACCCTCAGCCCGTATTTTAAAGCTCATTTGAGCCGTTTCTCAGGCGCTGCCTGGGTGGGACTGGCCCTGCTCCGCTGTGGTTTTGCAAAACTCAGGCTCTGAGCCCTTCTGCTGGCCCTCAGCCCTGGAAAACTTCCTTTGCATTAAACGTGAGGGCAACATCTCTTGGTTTGCAGTTGCTGAAAAAGGAAAGATTGAAGTTGCAGAGGCTTTTGAGGGAACAGATTAACCTCTGCTGTTGCTGCCTGCTTTAGCCTGGGTGGAGTTGGTGTCAGACTCTTCCAGCCCCATACACATAGGATCATGCTTCAAATTGTCCAAAAAGGGGATATTTTGCTTCCCTGGGGGGTTTGGGGAGGAAGGGCTGCGTGGCACCTGGGTGCACAAGTATCTGGAGCTGCATCCCTGCCAGGGTGGGAGTCCAGCCCCAATCTGCCCAGGAGTGCCCACAGCAGCTGGCACTGGGGTGAAGAAGGGAGGCATCATCCATCCCCTTCCCCATCTCATCTCTCCCCTTCCCTTTCCTTTCTCCAGGCCAGAAATTACAGACTTCTTGAAGGATTTGATTACACGGATGCTGGATAAAAATCCTGAATCTAGGATTTCGGTCCCAGAAATCAAGGTACTGACCCAACCCCCTGGTGTTGGCTGTGGCTTCACTTCTCTTGGTTTCTCCTTGCTCGTCTTTTTTTGGGAGTCAGTTTGATCGCGCCAGGCTAGGTCCTTCCCCTGTGCCCAGGGCCCCTGGGCAGGTAAGTCCCAGCTCCTTCCCCTGCTCCGGGACCTGATCAGCTTTGGGACCTTTGGTGCCTACAGAAGTCACAGGCAAAAGGAAATCCCCTGAGTACAGTATTTCCTCTGCTACCAGGAAAGTACTGTGCAACAGCCTTTCGCAGGAGATTTCTCGTCCTCCGCCCCTGTGGGAGCCTGGAAAGGGCGAGAAGCTGAGAAAATGGAGACTAAGGTAGGGGGAAAGGATTGCGGGGGAATTGCTGAACTGTTTTGTTCTCCTCCTGCAGCTGCCCAAGACGCCAGGTGTGTGGGCAAGGAGAAAGAGGGGTTTCTGCCTTCTGTCGTGGATTCATTCAGGTCCAAGACCAGGGCTCGGTACCCATCACTACTGCTCATATAGGTGGTCTGGAATAAATCACTCCTGCCTCTTGGCACTGTCTCATCTGTAAGATGAGAGTGAAAATAGGTCTTCTTCCCTAAAACCCACTGAGCTGAGATGCCCAGTGCTGTAGGTTGTGTAGATGGGGCCAGTGCTGGCTCCGGATGAGCCACACTGTGGTATTTTCTGCTCCAGGCTGAGCCACTCTTGGTCATGCCAGGGTGAGCTGGCACATCTATCCCCTGCTCCCTGGTATTTCAGGAGCACGTCAGGGCCGTAGTTTGGGCGAGGAGATGCGTTTGCCAGGCTTGTGTTGTTTAAGTTACGAAAAAGAGGAAATCATTCCTGACAGGCTGTGTTATTAATTGAAGTTGCACCCTTGGGTCACCAAGAATGGAGTGGAGCTGCTGCCCACGGAGGATGAGAACTGTACCCTCGTCGAGGTGACAGAGGAGGAGGTGGAGAATTCGGTTAAGCACATCCCCAGCCTGGCCACTGTGGTGAGTACAAGGGAGGTGATGGTCTGTGGGCGCACACCGGGGTCCATGCTGCCTTGGGAGCAGTCCCAAGCAGCTGGAGGTTGCTGCTGAAGGGCAAAAGCACTGGGTAGGATTAGAGCAAAGACCTTCCCTCTCTTGGAAACAAGCACTGCAAGACAGGGTCTCAGCATCTCGCTGGAGGTGGCTGTACCCCACAGTGCAGGGGAATATTTCAGAGCAGACCCAAAGGGACTCATCAGCAGGTTGCCAGTCTCTACACTTGAGCTGGCTGCTTAAATATCACTGTATTTGCACAGGGCAAAAGAGGATCTGGTCCAGGACCTGCCCGTGGCCAGGAGTTGGGTGTTTTGACCAGGCACGAGGAGCTCCTGTCCTGCTCTGCCCATCCGGCTGTAGCGGCTGCAGGAGCTTCCCGGGATGGAGATTTTATCTGGGCCATGGCGTGCGCCAGCCCCCGCCTGGAGCTATTCTTGGTGAATTCAGCTCATCTCTTTTCATGCTCATATTTTTATTCTCTGCAACCTGCTGTGGTGGTGAGAACCACAGTGTAACCCTGCCCTGCATGGAAAGTGAAATCCTGTTGGGTTTTGAACCTACTGATTTCTTTGGGTGCTTGCTAGCCTTTATGCTGGGAGAAACAGTGAGCGACCATTCTCAGTTCCCTGGTGTGATGTTACCTGTAGACACCCGGGCTGTCATTTTTTTTGTCTCCCTTTGAAGCCCTTTTTCCATCTTGTGGCTGTGACCACATCTGGCTCCATTTCTGGGGCTCTCCTCCACTTCAGTACCCTGCAGAAGTCTCTTCAACCGCAGATACGTTAATATGCAAATGTGTTTTGTGCTGCTCAAGCTGAAAAAGCAGATCTTGCTCTAAAGGGATCACCATTGATGAGGGTTTTCCCCCTTCCTCCTGTTTGGAGGTCACTTGCTGCAATGCAGCGGAGGATGGCTCGGTGCTCCCAGCCCTGTTGAAAATCCAGGTGTGTTTAGCACAGCTCAGGGCAAATGAGCTTTTACTGCGACTCTTACCTCTTAAATAACACACTGCCTCCAGGCAGATCTTGTATTTTCCCATTTGCATTTGTTCTTCAAAATTCCCCTCCGGTGCCTGATCTTTGTGCATCCAACTGCAGGCGTTAATGCTCGAGAATGAGATTCACGTGGCTCCAACTCTCACATAAAATGCCTTCCCCTGCGGGACGCTGCCAACATGCGCGTTTCAGGCGTGTAAAGCATCTCGGTGCACCGTGGTGAGCAGATAAATAATGCACAGAGGGATGAGAAGCAATGTCAAATGAAGCTGGGGGTTCCCAGAGTGGGATGCAGATGCCGAGGCAGGGTCCAGTGCTGCTCACTGTTGTTCTCTGCTCCCACAAGCAAAATAAGTTGGGGGAAGCCTGGGAAGAACCCCGACACTTGCTCTGTTCCCAGCAGTCTCTGATTGTAGCTGATGCTGCGTTGTGTTTTGCAGCCAAAGCTAGACAAACAGACAGGTTTTCACCTTGGTTTTGGTAAATGTTAAGGCAAAATTGTGTTGGTTCCTTCCTTCTCCTCTTCCTTTCCAATGAATTCTTCTGCCAGGCAATCACGGGGAACTGGGAATTTGCAGGTACTGGATGCAGTAATCAATAAAACCTACTTTTGAGGGGAGAAAATAATCCCAGACATGGCTTTGCTCTCCCTTCCAGCCTCTCACACCTAGTGTGGCTCTCATCTGCACGTTCAGTTGTTGCACTGTGGATTTCAGACAAGGATACAGCCCCTGTATTATGCAGCTGGAGACCTGCAAACAGGCTTTCTTCTTTGTTTTGTTTTATTTGTTTGTTTGTTTGTTTTTAAAAAGAGAACTTTGACTTGGTTTTGCTAGTTTTCTTAATTACTTGGGCATGAGGATGTTCCTGTTGCTCTTGAATAAAAGGAAAGTGTCCCTGACAAACTCCAATCTGGTCTTGCAGATCTTGGTTAAAACGATGATCCGGAAGCGATCCTTTGGGAACCCGTTTGAGGGGAGCAGGAGGGAGGAGCGGTCGTTGTCTGCCCCTGGGAACCTGCTGCCGTAAGTGTCATTGCCTCGGCCCAAAAAGGTGTTTGCAGTTTGTCTTAATGTTCTACAAATCCCTGAAAAGCACTGGAGGAGAATTTGAGGAGCCACACTTCGAATCTTTCATGTGGGGCCATGATTGGGATGTTCACACACCCTCTGTCTGACCCGTAACTGCTTTGTGGGATGGTTTTTGTGACACAGCATATCCTGTCCCTCCAATGAGCTGAAAAGCGTCTTTTTATGGCACTTGCAACCTGTTACAGGGGAGCTGGAGGGAGATGACACGTGCTCAGGGTCCCAAAGGTCCTGTGGCAGGGAAGGGGCAGATGCTGGTGTCTCATTGTCTGCTTTGCCTTTTTCCGAGTCCCTCAGCGACCGTTTTATTTCCTTTTAAAGCAGGAAACAAGGCAGTGAAGATAATCTGAAATGCAACGACTTGCCCAATGTAGGAGAGGAGGAACTTCTTTCATGAACACTGACTTTATGGTTCTGTTGAGCAACTTGGTCCAGGGCATGTTATTAAATTATGCAGCTGAGGATAAGCAACATTAACAGAGCCTACACCAAACACAGCATGACATGGCGCTATCTCAGTATAATGCTGGATGTAGAGCTTACCTAGCAGCATGTTACAGGACATCCGACTCCTTGCCATAAACACTGAACATCTCCGATCGCTTGGACTCCTGACTTCTTGTGGGAACGGTGCTGGCTGATAGCAGAGAGGTGAGCTATCGTGTTGAGCAGCAACAGTGCTTTGCAAAAAAAAAAAAGAAGAAGAAGAAGTGAAAAAAAAAAAGCAGTCAAACAAAAATGCATTTGAAACTCTGCTTTTACCTGGTTTTAATGCCAAATAATTTCTGGGGACTAACGCCAGCGTCCCAGGAGTGTTGTACGCCCATCGTGTCGTCGGTGGGCACACGCAGAAGGGTGAAGCTTTTGCCAAGTGGCATGCACAACAGCACGACTACACGTGTGCACTTTGAGAGTTCACCGCCTACTGAAATGTTGTTGCATCTATTTCTCGTCCTTCTGCTTTGTTTTTAATTGACACCTTTTTAACTGCATGGGAACAAAGCAAAAACCCACCTTTTCAGCTTTTTCAAGAATGCCTACTTTTGTGAGCCAAGCTGTATTAAAGAGCATCTTCAGGACGTTCAGAAAGTGAGGTTAATTAACTCCTAAGGTAATTAATGCCTTTCCTTAGGTCTTGGTGTGACTAGGACTTGGTAAGTTGAGTATTCAGTGTATGAAAGGAAAAGGTATTTAAGGGCTTAAGTTCAGTCTGAACTATTTTTGCTGCAGACCTATGAGTGAAAAGTGGTGTTTAGCTGAATGTTTTGAACAGCAGAGGAAGCACTAACAACAGTTTGTTTCTAAATCTTTTACTTGATCTAGGTAGATATATTATTAAATATAAAATTCAGGGTAAAATCCTTCACTTCCATGTACATTACATGGTTTACTACAATTAAAAATAATACAACTTATGCTATTTTTTAAGTATAGACTTAGGGCTTGCTTAGAATTTAAGATCTTAATGAAATACTTAGATTAGCTAGTAATTTTCAAAGAAACTAGTTTTCCAAACTCTTAATCTGAATTTTGGGGCCAATGCTATGTATTTTTTGCAAGTTCGTTACCAGTAATTTGTGAATGCCTGTGGATCAGAGGCTTGTTAGTAAATTCAGTGTATACCTAATTCATGGATTGTTTCATATGAAGAGCTCTCTCACCTTCAGTCAGATTACTCTGATTATTTTGTGGTGCTTGTAAAAATTAATACTTTATCATGTGATGGGAGAGACTCTGGTGTCCAGACTGGCTTTCCCAAGTTCTCTGTGCTTGGATAAAGCTGGAGAGCGGCAGAGTGTGGGTGAGCTGGAGAAGAGTCAGGGTTTGCTTGAGGAAAGAGGTCACATTAAGTAGAGTTGTTTTGTGGCTGGAGCATGGGACTGGGGCAGGGAGAAAAGGTCTGACCTCTTCTCTTCTCGGTCTGATGTGGTCAGGTCGTGTGACCTTGAATGAGGCATTTAAAATGATGGTGTACCTGAAAGAGAGGGAGGATTTGAATGTCCCAAGCATGTAAGGGACAGCTAAGGTGTAATTCTTTGCCCTGAGGAAGAAGGCACTAGGAGAGACCAGAGTATTTTGGTTAATGATAAGATCTCCGCCTGCTAACCCTGGCCTCGGGTGCCCTGCCTTTAGGAAGTGACTGTCCCCTTGTCTTCCTTGATCTTGGGCACTGCAAGCAGCAGAGTGCTGAGGTCCTTGGCCCAGTGATTCCTGGTCAGGACAGGTCTTTGTTAAAGCCGGCGTAGCATTAGCAAGTGTGCAGGTGCCTACATAAAATATTCCTTACATCTTCTGATCGCTTGAAGCAATGCTTCCCCTAAATCGCCATTTATTACTTGAAACATCACGCTGCTGGCCTCTGTCCAAAGCCAGTGACAATGGTTCATGGTTTAGGAGCAGTACTACAAAGTCTGGAGCCATAAGACACGCACTGTTTTCCTCCTGTTTTAGTCCAAGGCTATGCCAAAGCCCTGCAGCTTCAGCTATGGGAAAACCAAACAGGTAATTTGGGTGCCAGCACTCCTACAGCTGCCTGTTCCCCTG